AAATAATTATTTTGTCAATCCTTTGGTTCGCAATATATTTTATTTATTGAAAAATATTATTTTTTATTTTCCATTGATTTCTATCTACAACATTAATTTATCGCAAAATTTATTGCATTTTTATATTCGGTTTTTATATCACGAAAATTGATCTCAATTTTCACGAAACGGTTATTAAAATAAATAACTTTTTTTTGTAGTGATATATAAAAAAGTTTTTAAATATAGAAATTGCATTAAAAGTTGTAATAAAAAATTATGATTTAAATTAATTCATCTGATTTTTTATACCATGATGATTGATTGATAGGGAAAATCAGTGCCTTTTTATCATGTGTTTTAGTTTTTACTATACATTTAAATTGAATATTAAATAAATTTTGGGTTAGAAATAAATGTTGTAATATTAATACATATTAAAATAATATATATTTTGTATTACTTTTAATCTCATTAATAATGATATTTAAGGAAAAAGTTGTTTTATTAAATAAATATAGTTTTAATAATTAATTTTATATCTAATCTGCGATTTAATAGTGAGTTTTGAGTTATATTTATAAATGATTTTATGGTATATTTGTTTTAATAGCAATTAAACCGTTTTTAATCACATTATACCGTTTGTACTGTATATTACATTATAGTGTACTCTTCGATAGTATTAAGTAAAAAATTAATTTATTATATTTCAGATTAGATTTGCGTTTTTTATATGTATTTTAGTGCAAAAATTATAGACATTTTAGACTAAAAGTTAGTTTAAATAATACTATTAATAAAAGCAACGACTGTTAAAATTTTTAAAAATTAAATTATTTTTAAACCGATAATTATTGACAACAAGTATTTTTAGTTCACATTTAATTATATAGTTTTCAAGGCTTTTAAGTTTAAACACTAATAACAGACCAATTATTATAATTGTTTATTAATTGTATCTATAATTTGTTTATTTAAAGTTAATTAAACCAAACGATTTTTAATTAATTACATTTTTCTAGATCCCTATACATGAATTGCCCATGGGCATTAAAATACACATTTTAAATACACAATTATGCATAAATAATGTATAATTTACTAATTTATATATATAAAATCATGTTGATTATATATCGCAAGTGTTATAATTATGATACAATTGTATAATTAATTAGCAATTAATTAAAAATATATAATTAATCAACTTATTAATTCATGCCCACCTAGGTACAACCATAAATGTGATATATTCTCGTACGGTGTGATTTGCTGCGAGCTCAATTGGCGGATACCGGCCGACCCGGACTACTTGTGCCGGGACGACAACTTTCTAATCAGTTTTGACAAACTTCCGGAGGGACAGACGGACACACTACTGGCCAGAGTGGCTCGGCTATCGTGTCAGGTACTGAGACACACACCTGTCAACTCTACTTTTATTCTGAAACTTATATTTTATAATTAATGTTATATTTGTTTTTTATACAGAAAAACGCGTCAATACGTCCGGAGTTTAGCGAATTATTAGAGATCTTTGAGTCGGAGTACGTGTCCGGACAGCACCGGCGGTCACCCGACGAGGTGGACGGCCAACGGCACCGGTATATACTGAGACGTGAGCTGAGTCTACCGGTGACCGGCACTCAGTCGCCGCCGGGCGTAGACCTGTTGCCATTGAACGGCGCGGCCGGCGATATATGTATGTAATTGTGTTGTGATAATCACTTTGGGATCAGTTGTTTATCTGATTTTTTGGGGTGTTTTTTGTGTGGATTTTTGTTACAGAGTTTGCGGTGAAATGAGTGCAAAGAAATTGTTTAGTTTTTTTGTTGAGATTTTTTTGTTTTTAGTTTTTATCCCATATTTTAAAAGGAGAGATAGTTTTGTTGGTTTTTCTCTCGAAATGAAAAACTAGTTTTTGTTGCCGACAAAGACATAGATTGAATTTTTTTGTGTGCATTTAATACATGCCTAATGTATTCATAAATCATTTGATTTAATGCTTTTTAGCCATAATTTATGATTACGGTATGAATTGAAAGCGAAAATGAAATTTTTGTCATATTTTTTGTTTGATTTTTATTATTATTTGCATTTCTGATGAAAATTACTGCAAAATTATTTATTTCTTGGTTTTCATGTGATTTTAAAACTGATTTATTGATCCATTGATTAAATCCGTTAATAATCCGTATTTTAATCTCCATTAAAACAGTTGATCAGCACTTAATCCGTCGCCGAAACTCGCAGATCGAGAGGAAGTATTTCAATGGTATTCACAGATGATAATCACAACGTCTGAAGAGAGCGGATCCATTGCATCGACAACTTTACACATCACACAAAACACACAATCAATTTCATTGACAAAAAGACAATTAATTGTTTCATTAGATTAACGATAAAAACATACAAAATGTTTTGTAATAAAACTTATTGTTTTGTGTTTTTTCTCATTTTTTAGTTTTCTCGAGTCATTTGTATTAATTTCTACACGTGATAGATAATTAAAATATACAACAATTTAATTCCAGCACAATTTACACCCAGTGTTTTGTCATGATCTAAATCATTGTCAACCAATACATACCCTCGTGAACAACGG